GGCCCGCCTTCACTTAGGGCGGGCACGAGGCTTGCTGGGGGCCTATGCCCAGAACATCTGCATGTCGGCTAGGCCCCTCTGAGGGCTCAATCCTCACATTCCATCCCCCTTAGCTTCGAAAGTCCGCTGAGATGCTTACTTCGCAGGTGCCTTCCCCTTGAACTGTCTTTCATATTCAGCCATCTGAGGTGCTGTCTGTAGCAGCTCCTCTCCAGTGTATCAACGATCTTCTTTAGGATCAGTATGATGCCTGAATCTGACCCAGTATAGTCATCTGGGTTTTGGATGTCTCCCTCTGCCCAGATGTCTTGGAACAGGCATGTCTCTATGCTCCAGATTGCCGTCGACGTCCACGTGGCCATCCATGGTTGGGGGTAGCATCGATCTCCTTGAAGGGAATTGATCAGTCTCAGCGAAAGGTGCAAGCTTTGAGGTATGAAAAACTGGGTAGTGCGCAGGTGATCAGGGATACGGATAACGTAGGGTGGATCATCCTAAATCATTCCCCGCTACATCCTAGACTTCCCGTGATGGATCAACTAACCTTTTATTCCCTGCCTTATCCAGAAAGCTTAACCCATCCATCAGGAGATGGTCTTTCCATTAGGCTTCCACCATCGATTGAGTTAGCTCGTGAGATGTGCCAAATTCAGAAACTAGTGCCCTACATGACAGCGCATCAGCAACTTGTTACCCTCCCCATTCAATTACTCTAGCTTAAGGTTACGTTGTTTTTGACCTTATTCTAGCGTTTGAGGGCATTGGGGAGAACAGGTTGAGTCTTTAGTCCACTTTAGAATCTGATGATCAGTCCTTGAGTAGAAGAATCTACCCAACAGTTAGTGTTTCTAGTGGATTAGAACCTTGTATAGCACATAGAGTTCCCTCTCTTAAGTGGACTTAGCCAACTTCTTGGATGACATCCTTTTGCTCATACTCAATCGGCCTCAACTTCTTCCCTGCCTGCTGGGCCAGCACTGTGGCAATCCCATTATGGTTAGCTTCAGTGGTTACTATAAATGGCCTCTGAGAATCGGGAATCATGAGAAACTCGTGATTCATGAGTGAATGCTTCAATCGTTTGAAGGCAGCCTCACACTCATCACTCCAGTCCCATGAGGTGTCAAGTCGAGTATGATCTATCAAAGGAGAGACGACTGTAGAATAGTTCTTTACGAAACTCCTATAGTAGCCGCTCATTCCTAAAAAAGATCTAACCTCAGTCACCGTCTGAGAATATGGCCAGTCCCTAATACTTAGCCACTTAGAGGCTCTGCGTTCTTCACTTGTATGGCTTTGAGGCCTCTATAATCAAAGCACATCCTCAAACTGCCTCCCTCCTTCGTTACAGACAACACTGGGGATCCGAAGGGAGAAGTACTAGGTCGTATACATCCCTTTTTCTGTCAGCTCCTTCAGTTGTCGATAGAGTTCGTCCCTCTCGGCCGAGGCCATCCTATAGATTCTTCCCTTTTTGGGGTTTTACTCCCTGGAATTATTTCTAGGGTGTGGACTATCTCCCTTTCAACGACTCCTGTGGGCTTCTTGAACAGATCAAGGAACTTAGCGACGATATAAAATAGGTACATGCCTTCCTCTTGGTTTTGTATTATAGAACGTTGCTGTTCATAAGCACGCATAGGACTCAAACAACCTACTAGCCTTTCACTTAGCTAGTCTGATGGTTCTCCTATCAGGCGGCTCATGCTTCAGCACTTTCTTGTCCCAGTCCAACTGGGGCTTGGCAGCCTCAAGGTAGTACATTCCTAACAGCATGTCGAATGACAACTCATCACTAATCTGGAACGAAATCCTATGATTAAGTTCCCCTCCTCCAAAAGAGAAGGTCCAGACTACGTCCTCGACATAGTCTTTCATTCACTACAAAGCGCTCGTCGTTGGCCAAAGAAGATGCTACTTGTCTTTTAAGGTGCTCTACCTGGTCATGTGGCGCAGCTTTTCCATACAGTCAGAGCTTATGTAGTTCCGCGTGGAGCCAATGTCAACGAAGGCACCACATTTGCGGCCTCCTACACCAACTTCCACACACTTCTAGGACCACCACTTTGTGCCACCCAGGACTCTCTAGGGTCCCTGTCTGACCACTCACTCTGCGAATCCTCTAAGGCCTCAGACACATCTAATGTACAAAGCACATTTTGGTCTAGATGAGTCTGCGGGATGACTAAAGAGTCATTAGCCTTGGCCAACTCATGAAGTGGGGAGGGTATTCCCACTTCACCATAAGTAGAAGCAGCTAAAACTTCCACCGGCCTCACGTGTTTCCCGAGCTAGAAGCCTGGGAAGAAGGCACCCCTCTCTCAGGGGTATCTTATGCGTGACCTTCACATTCTTGCACTTATGCTGCGTGTGCAAATTTTCACCTAGTTAATGCAAGCTCCATGCGAACGGCGGTCCCGCTACACTATTCTAAGCCTGCCTTATTTCAATCATCCACTTTAGACTGATTGGAGGCGGCCTGCCCTTGACTCTTTTGATGGCCCTACATTCGGCCATCCGCCTTAGCCTTTTTTTATACCGCGGCAAGGGTGCTACCCTCAGCATAGTCCTCACCGCATCCTCTGGTGTGTCCACCAGGTCAGAAAGGTCATTGACTTCATCATTCGTCTACCTTTCTTCTTCCACTCCTGTGGACTCTCCTTTCTTCTTCTGTCTACTGAAGCGTGATATGCCAACTGTGTTCTTAGAATCTCAAGGAGAAATAGCGAATGCCTGGGACAACAATGAGATTCTCAACGCTAGTCGTAAACTCCCTGATTGATTGTGCCAACGAGCTTCTACCCTGTCGACAAACTCTCCTATGCGTCCTTCATACCCGACTTTCGTTGTGAACACACTAAGCCAGTTATCACTTCCTTCTCCAGCAAGATTCTCTTGGCCCTCACCCACATCGGAAATGATCTCAACCTGAGATTGAGATCCTCCTCCTTCTGAAGGAAGGGGAGTCCTCTTCGGGGTCTTTGAGAACAAGGAACTTGCTGTTGTTCCTGTGGTGGAACAGGTTGCTGTGGCAGTGATTGAGTAGCTGTCACCGTCTGACTAGAAGAAGAAGAACCTGCAGTCTGTGCTGCTGCTGCTGACGAACCGCTTGGTTGTGTGCCAGCTTGGGGATAGATGTCTATAACTGCCATCTTAGGGAGTGGCGATTTATAAAATGCGAGCAGCCTAGAGCTTAGCTGCTGCAACTGAGTCAATGTCTAATCCAAGGTGTCTTGCATGAAGTCTTCTTTGCTGACTACGCGTGCGTATAATGTGAGCAAACTAGACCTCAACACCTTCTATGGGTCCAACATCACTG